CGTTTAAATCTTCCGTAGTACTCCAACACGTCATATGACGTGATGCGCAGTTGACTGGAACAACTTCCAACACGTCATATGACGTGATGCGCACTTTAACCCCTTAATTGTGTTGCCTCCAAATGTGACACCCCCGCAGTGCGCAGGAAATAAATTCTCTGAAAAAAATTATTTTTTTCTTTTTAAAGTGTCAAAAACCTTTCCCTCAGTATGGGTATGTAAAAAAAAGTCGAAATTGTACTTACTTTGGCTGCTATGGGGTCCGGAAGTTGGGGCGTGACGTCATCATTCCCCGTGCGCCCGTGCCATAAGCTCTCGGGGGCGGTGGGGCGCTCGGGGCAGGGTGCGCGAGTTGCCGCGAATATATTTTCGTTCATTTTTTGCGCACCTATCCAAATACATTTTCATTGTTTTTATGTGCCAATCCAATGTATAATGAACACGTACACTATAATATCGCAGTACAACATCCGTACTGTCCGTAGACACTGTGTTACGTGGATGAAACTTGTGTACACATATGCAGCACATATTTACTATGTATCATGCTAATTTGTGTATATATACAATCTATTACTGTCACACACTATATACACACACTATATACATTCACCATCAACACGTTCAGAACACCGCGAGTGAGAGCTGCCACACCCAGCCAGCCCTCCCTCACTTCTCCAACATTGTATTCGCCAACTTTGCCCCACCCATCATACAGTTATTCACACCAATGTTTCATGTTCATTATGTATATTTACAACATATGTACTCACTATACACTGTCACACACTATATACATTTACCATCAACACATTCAGAACATCGCGTAGCAGCTGCTTCGTATGGGCCAATAGCAGCTGCCTCGTATGGGCCAATAGCAGCTGCCTCGTATGGGCCAATACCAGCTGCCTCGTATCGGCCAATAGCAGCTGCCTCGTATGGGCCAATACCAGCTGCCTCGTATTGTCCAATAGCAGCTGCCCCGTATGGGCCAATAGCAGCTGCCCCGTATGGGCCAATAGCAGCTGCCCCGTATGGGCCAATAGCCGCTGCCCCGTATGGGCCAATTGCAGCTGCCTCGTATGGGCCAATAGCAGCTGCCTCATATGGGCCAATAGCAGCTGCCTCGTATGGGCCAATAGCAGCTGCCTCATATGGGCCTATAGCAGCTGCCCCCGTATGGGCCAATAGCAGCTGCCGCATATGGGCCAATAGAAGCTGCCTCGAATGGGCCAATAGAAGCTGCCTCGTATGGGCCAATAGGATCATTTGGCCATGAACACATTCAGAACACCTTGAGTGAGAGCAGCCACACCCAGCCTGTCTCCCTCACTCCAACATCTTACTCGCCAACACTGCTCCTCCCACCATATTGTTATAGTTCTTATTACACATGTTCTATATACCTATCTACATGTTTTATTTACCAGAACTATGCAAGTAAGCCGGTATTGTGTCCAAACAGTACAGTGGCCACCATACACTGCATGAAAAATCACACAGCATACGACGCTACGATTACGTCACCTCCCTCACCAAAATAGCTCCTCTCAACATTCTCCTGTTGCTGTTCTTACACTATATACACACACTATATATACCCATGTACATATGTGTTGCCCATATCGAACCACTAAGCTAGTATGATGAGCAAAACAAGAGTGGCAGCCACACACACACAATGAGGCTACCTCAATTCTCGCCCTCCCTCCCTCATCAAAATTCCTCCTTCCACAATACTACGCACAACGCTAATTATAACCACAATCCTGCTATTATCACAAACCTGGTCACTAATTCCTGTAAATGAATAATTGACCAGACGTTTATTTTGAAAAGGAACCTAAGAAATCATTTGAAGATTCCTAGATGAACGAAATAATGCTGTGGTGCTGTGGCTAGCGCTGTGAACATCGTGAACAGCATTGGATCACTGATATTTGAACATTGTACCCAGTCATTATCACACTCAGGCTCTAATATAACACTATCATAGCTAAATAATACAAGTTATATATATATTTTGGCATTATTAGGTGATGCTGTGGTCACATGCTGAACAGCAGTGCTGTGCGCTCATGCTGCAAGCGCCAGCCTTGGTTGCTCACACACTACTGAGGCTCTCACACTCGGGAATGTGGACCATGATTTTTTTTAAAGATGGCGTCTGTTTACAAGAGCCCTGAGGAAGCTGATGTGAACCCCATGTAGCCGCGGGAGTTTTGAATGGAACGTGAAAAATACAAATACCCGGAGGCGTGTTGCGCAAACCAGACGTGAGCCTGCAGGCGCGTTGCGCAGTTTAAGGGTTAAGGGTTAAAGGTAAGGTCTTCCGACATGAGTACACCCAGATCCTTTACATTGCCTTTTCGTTCTATGTTATGATTTGCCTAAGTTTTGTACGTGGTTTCCGTTTTTATATTTTCAATTTTTCCGTAGCGCATGAGCTGGAACTTATCTTCGTTAAACACCATATTATTTTCTGTAGCCCATAGAAAGACCTGATCTACATCTGATTGGAGGTTTGCTGTGTCCTCTATGTTGTCAACTCTCATGAAAATCCTAGTGTCATCTGCAAAGGATGATACAGTGCTATAGGTTGTGTTCTTGTCTATGTCCGATATGAGGATGAGAAAAAGTACTGGAGCAAGCACAGTACCCTGGGGGACTGAGCTCTTCACGGTTGATGGGCTGGATTTTATTTTGTTGACTATTACACATTGGGTTCTGTTAGTCAGGAAATTGTAGATCCATCTGCCTATTTTCCCGGTAATTCTTTTTGAACGCATTTTATGTGCAATAACACCATGGTCACATTTATCAAAAGCTTTTGTGAAATCTGTGTAAATTACATCAGCGTTTTGTTTGTCTTCCATAGCATCTAATGCCATATCATAGTGGTTCAGCAACTGCGACAGGCAAGAGCGCCCTGTTCTGAAACCATGTTGTCCGGGGTTATGAGTTGCTGTGATTCCGTGTATTTTGTGATCTTACTTCTTAGCACTCTCTCAAAAATTTTTAAGATGTGCGATGTTAGTGCTATCGGTCTGTAATTTTTTGCCTCTGCCTTATCTCCTCCTTTATGGAGTGGTGCTATCTCTGCTGTTTTTAGTATGTGAGGGTAACGCCAGTATCTAGGCTTTGTCTCCACGGAATGTGAAGGGCCTGCGATAGTGGTTTTTTACAGTTCTTGATGAATATGGAGTTCCAAGAATCCGGGCCTGGTGCAGAGTGCATAGGCATACTGTTTATGGCTTCTTCAAAATCTAGTGGGGATAGGGCGACGTCTGATATATGATTTGATGTTGGTATCATATCCATGAAAAATTGAAGAAAATAAAGAAGCAACCCCCCAAGAAGCACCTGCAACACAGTCAACACCTCCTACCAGTCAGGCATGCAGGTATGGCAAAACCACTTCAAGCCTCAAGGGAAAACAAAGGACAGTCTCCCAGTCAGGATGATTCTGGAACCTCATAACGCATCCAACAAGGAGAAGACGACTCGAACTTAAAGGAGGCCAGATCGATAACCAAGGAATAAACCGGGTCATGCAGGAGGTAAGCCACAAGGACCTTCCAAGCCTCTGCTGGGAAAACAGAAGGAAAGAAACCTCTGGAAGGATGAATTCAAGGAACCCAAGGGAACAAGGAAATGAACCCTGGGGGACCACCAGGACTAGGTAGGACTACCCTTCAAGCTAGCACTTGGGCACGATGGGTCAATCCATAGCGGCCCATGCCAAAGATCCAAGAGGGAATTACCATGACCTGAAGGCTGCTAACCAAGCAGGGCACCCAGGCACCAGAACTGCTCTTCATAAGAACAGACACCAAATGCAGCGAGTGATAAATGTGGCGCACCACATAAACCAAGCATATGAACCTCAGTGTGGCCAAGCACAACCGACAGAACACCCCCTCCAGCCGAGGGCCAAAACAAAGGAGTCAAAGACCACTGAACAGCCCAAAGCATGACTCTCCACCAGAGTGGCCTGGCCTCTCAGGGCCAAACTCCTAGACACAGTAGAGAATGTAACTGTCAGTGCAAGGGCAGCAGTAGTGAGCACCCAGGGAAGTAAACCCTGAACCATGCAACTTAAAGCAAAGCTCACACAAGCTGGATAAAACACTAAGGCAAATACTAAAAGAAAGAAACAAAACACAAAGCAAATGGCCCCAAAGGACAAAGTCCAAGGATGGCCAGCACTCAGATTGAAACAGAGGGGCTTGCCATGTTTGACACCCAGAACACTACTGATAGAACTTTCCACCAAAATATCAGCAACAGAACCGAACTTGGGAGCCAGCTGTGGGCAGGGGCCAGGCGTCAATCTGTACTTTTAGTTTTTAGCTAGTTTGAGTGAATCTCCTGTGCAATACGAATGGTTTCAGAGTTGTTTGGCAGTTTCAAGGCTTTATTTTCTTTGAACTCTCCAGTTTTCTGTAAAGTCTCACTGACTTCTTGGATGCTTTTTATTTGGGGATGGGGAAATTGTCCCATGCTCTCTGTGCCTCAGTGAGGGAAGCCAAGGTCTGGCTCTGATCCCCATCAGGCCAAACACAACTCCTGCCTCTGATGTGACCCATCAGAACGGAGCAATCTCTGCGACATAACTTCAGGAAGCCACTGACGGGCTCACACAGAGAACACACTGATGCATACAATTCTAGAATTTCAAGTCATACACAAACGTTTTACAATCAATTCATCAAGATGTAAAATTCATTTTACATGAATATGACTAAGCAAAATGTTGTAAAATTCTACTTTTGCAAATAGGTCTTATTTACAAAATTAATTTCAAAATAAAATAATTTTATACATTTATTTACAGATTTATTGTTCTGCCATCAAAGTTAGTGTAAGAGTGTTAAACGAATCAGTGTATTCAGCACTCGGGGTTAAGCCGATATACAGTAGTCCAGTTGTTAATCTTTCATCGAGGCACAAATGTTGTTAATTTAAACTAATATATATATACCCGGTAGTTCTATTACCTTCAGTTGAATGTGCTTTGGAAACATATCCCAAATATGACGCTTTTTGATATCTATTCCAAGTCCTTGATGCCCTTCACTTGACAGGATGTGGACAAGAAGGCCATTGCCACAACCTAAGTCAACAAAGGTTTGATTGGTAGTTAGTCCTTTCTTTTTTCTTTCCTGTTGCCAAATCAAAATCAAATAGGTGGCAATGGCAATATCCTCATACACGTACTTCAGAGGATCTGTAGTCTCTGGCCACATCTGTAAGGCATTTGCTTTAATTAAGTTCTCTATTTCAGAGTGCAAAAAAAATAAAAAACCAGCGTTGAATGTAATGAAACGCCATTTTCTGGGTGAGCCCCGGAGGCTCCCTGGAGCTTATCGGGCTAATGTGTGTTATGTTAGACCGGGACATTAGCTAAGGAGTTCAGACCTACCAGGGACCAGCGCCAGAACCTGGCCCCTTCAGAGAGGTTTCAGGGAGCAATGGCCCTGGAAAACCCCATATGGTTGGGGGTTTTCCTTATCTGCCATCGACCGGGGTTAGGCACCCAGAAAGGTAGGCGTAACAAAACAAACCCCACATGGTAAGAAACTACAACAAAAACCGAACAGAGAGGTAGAAAACTCCCTACAATCCCAAGGAAACAAGCAAACAAGCAAACATCACACTTTACTGCCGCGCCGATCGTCCGCGCAGCCCTCCCCACCCCGGGAGGGGGAGGGGGGAGCCCCGGACCTACCGCGCCGGCTGCCAAGCTCCAGTTCGGAAGCTAAGCGTCAACCAACGCGAAAAAAACGCCGACCGGTGGGAGGGAGGGTTTCCAGGGAGCCTCCGGGGCTCACCCAGAAAATGGCGTTTCATTACATTCAACGCTGGTTTTCTGTGGGGAGCCCCTACGGCTCCCTGGAGCTTCATACCCAAAGAGAAGGAAAAGAAAGGGCTAACCCGGGAGGCGGCCGCCACAAACTCTGCAACGCAAAGCCAAGACAACCGGTCGCAAACCTGCGACCCAAGGCAACAAGAACGCCCAAGAACAGACGCACATATGGATGGGCGGCCAAAAACCTGTGCGACCCACAATTTCCTGCGCCCGAAACGTCACCAACACAGCAGCAATTGCTGCAAACGTCTGAACAGCACGGGCGCAAAGACAGACCGCAGTAAGAAGGAAAACACTGCGGACGACCCGGGAAACCCGAGCCCTGAAAACAGGGAACGAAGGAACCGGATCAACCACAGCGCATCCCCAGGCACGGTACGCCGGCAACAGCAAAAAGCACAACTGGACAACACAGGACGCACCCCCCGGCCAAACCAAACAAGTACCAATACCCCAAGAACCCCTCCGGAAAGCAGCCGTCTCGACCGTCGCCAGGACAGAGAAAGGCTGCACACCAATAAAGCTACCACCAGTACCAAAGAGGAGGAAACTGAAACCGAAGGGGCTACCACAAACTGAGGGGAAGAGAAGAAGGCACCCTGAACAAGGACCAGGATGGCTCAGGCGACTCATGAGCAGGCCGGAGGGGAAACAAAACGCGAGAAGACGTAAGAACCGTCATACAGTCTCCAAGACGAAGCTCGCAGGTGGGACACCGTCAACAAAGCCACCTGAACACCATAGAGATGGCGATACCTGCGTCAAAATACCAGACGCGAAGAGCCAAAGAGAAGGCCGAACCAGTCACGGACAGGACCGAATCGGCCTGCTGAAAGAGGCGAAGCCTCAGGAAAAACGCCCCGGGTACGGACACCTATCAAGCAGCGTCTGAAAAGAAGGCCGGGCCGGCCACAGTGGAACCATAAGGACTGTTCTCGTGGGAATGGGCTGCAACTGAGCCAGAACCCGAAGCAACAGCTGGACCGGGAGAAGAGGTACAGGTACCCCCCACCTCGACCAGGCCTGCCGAAAGCCTCCACCGTGAAGTCCTCGCAGGTGGGAAGGGCGCCACAAAACGGGCGACGCCTAGACCACGCCGACCCGAAGACGTCCATGGCCAGGAGTCCATAAGCCCAACAGAGCCAACAAAACGAATCGGCGACGACTGGCCAACCCACGAAGAGGAATGAACCGAGACAGCTGTCCACCAGGACGCAGGACACACCCCGGACACGAACCACACGGTTAACCAAACCCCCTGTGGTTCCGGCAAGAACCACCAGAGAACAGTCCAAACAGAGCTGAATGGTAAGAGTACCTAGTGACCCAAACCCTCCGAAGCGCAAACCAGACAGCCATGAACACCTGAACCGGGCTGTGAGCCCGACGGACAGACAGACTCCATCAACCTCGGCCGACCTGGTGAGCACTGGTCACAAAGCCCCAGCCGAGAGACGACCCGTCCGTGAACACATCGAGCGAAGGCTCGGGGAGCCGCCAAGGCACGGAACCCCGAAAACCCCAAAGAGGAAGCTGGTGACGCAGCACCAACACCAGATCCCCAGAGGAACCCAAGGAATGCAAGAGGCGGAAGTGGAGTCTCCGTAGGAACCAACCGACGCCGGAGCCAAACCCGACTCCGCGGGCAGACAAGCACGCCAAAGTGCAAACTCCCGCACAACCGCCCAAGCAACCGCTGAGCAACCCGGGACCCCCTCCTGAACAGCCAAAGGCGGGACCACAGCCACAGGAACACTTCTGGAGGGAAGACAATGAGGGGCCCAAGAGCCTGAAACAAGGCCCAGGTCCGAACCCGGGACGGAAACAGAAGGTAAAACCTCCAGATCACCAGGAAACCAAACCCAGCGATCTGGAAAGAACCATCCCCTGGCGAGCAGACAAGCGGACTGACTGGGAGCCCACTCCAGCCAGTCGTCGAGGTAGGCCAGACACCGAATCTCAGACGCAGACAGGGCACTAAGATCCGGTAAAGATGCAAAGAGTATACAAAGTGCCCTTCACAAAATAGGGAATGCAATAAAAACAGCAAACCTGAAGCCCCACCACCAAAGCATTGTATGACAATCATAAGAAGACATATTATGACACATGACAATCATTATATGACAATATGACAATTATAATCAAAGCATTATATGACAAAGAGTGCTGGGAAGACGGGACACCACGAGAGTAGCTCTCATCCTGTAACTACACTTAGGTAAGTACACATAGGTAATTACCAACCGTGCTAGCCCCAGAAAAACTGGAGAGGAACGTGCCAAGAAGTGACCTGGAGGTCCAGGTCCACCATCCATGCACCCGGCCCTAACAGAATCCGAACAGGAGACAACAGTCCTCCGAGCAGGGCAGAGGATCCAAGGCGCAGACGGAAGTAGTCCAGAAGAACTGCAGACTGGAAAAGCTCATGACTGCAAAGAGCAGACGGGAAAAGCTCATGACTGCAAAGAGCAGACGGGAAGCCCAGAAGGATGGGGCGGATCGACCACGCCCCACGCACCCACGAAGAGGAAATGACGAAGCGCAGGGAAGAAGCCCACCCCGCCAGCTCTGAACCCCCCCCAAGGGGGAGAAGCTGTCCTCCTACGCCAGCAGAGGCCGGAAGACAACCCAAAGCGCCCACCAACAGCGGGACCAAGCGAGAGGCAACAGAGCAAGCTGCTCCCCCAGCGCCCAGTCAACAGAGAAGGGAACAGAACCCCTTCAGAAAGAAAAAGTACACTACCGAAGTCATGAGGAGAGACTACGGGAATGAAACCACACTTCGCTGGAAGAGGAAGTGAGGGGAGACCTGATCACCACATACAAGATACCCAAGGGAATCGACAGGGTTGAGAAGGACAGGATATGTAACACAAGGGGCACACGCACTAGGGGACACAGGTGGAAACTGAGTACCCAAAAGAGCCACAGATAGAATTAGTTTTTTTTTTTTTTTTTTTTTTTTTTTTTTTTGAGTGTCGGAATGGGAACGGGAAAGCACTAAGAAGTAATTTGGCGACTCCTCACACAAGTAACGAGGCTGACCCCCATACAATGTCACATGTAGACATGACAGAGCCCAAGAGGCACAGGAACCGATACACCTGTTGACGGACGGTTGAGAGGCAGGACCAAGGAGCCAGAGCTCAACCCCCACAAGCACAACTAGGTGAGGACATATATTGTAAAAGCACAAGCCGCCGACTAGTGGCAAAGAGCACTACGCCGGCCAGGCAAAGAAGGCACAAAACTGCATCAAAAGGCCCACCTCGACAGCAAAACCACAAAGTCCCAGCACAACCACAACATGTGCCAAGACCCAAAAAGCTCAGTCTGCAAGCCAGGAAGACCCCGGAACCCCAAAAGGCAGAACCGGGTCACACGAGGAAACAAAGTCCCCTGAACCCACAAAAGGGGGCCCAAGAGGAAGAAACCTCCAGAACGAAACCAAGGAACCCAAAGGAACCCAGAATCGAACCAGGGGGAGCCCAAACCACCACATTTGCCGGCGGAGAACACCACTAAAAGGCAAAGCACAGACCCCAGCAGAACGCCCTGGGAAAACGGTCCCAACAGACCGAAAACCGAGGGGCAAGGTGTGGGAGCAAGCATACCAGCCAGGGGCACAGAGCCTAAACCCAGAGGCTCAGACCCAAAATCAACACCCAAACGTTCCCAGAGGAACAGGCAACGGCAAGAAAACACCAGAAAACAAAGAAACGACAACAGGAGAACAAAAACCCTGCAAATTTTTTGAAAACTCACCAGAGACGCTCGCTCGCACACCCAGACGCATGTAAACAAACCGCAACGCCGCCCTGGTGGCCACACCGGGAAACCGGCAGACGAAAATGGCCGCCAGAAGGGGCTGTGACTGACGCTTAATACACAAAAACACGCCAGCAAATGTGGGAAGCTAGCAGACTGGAAGGGCGAAAAACGACGCCCAACAGCAGAAAAACCCCTGAAGGGGCAAAACCGCCCCAGAACTGCTAGTAGGCATCCCCCACAGCCCCGGGAACCAACAACAGAGGCCCCGGGGCAGAGCCGGCCTCCAAGCCCTCCGCCCTGAAAGAAAAGCAAGAGCCCATGGGAAAGGCAACAAGAAAGGGCCGCTGGTAAGACCCAGAAGCCTTGGCAGGAGGCACAGGCTCAAACCTCCGTCCCCAACCCGAACGGGGCATCCCCCGAAAACCGCCCGAGTCTCTGCCGCAACTGAACCCCGCCCCGACCCAGAAACACGCAGACGGTCCGGAGCCGGGAACATGGAGAGAAAGGGGCGAGCAGCACCTAACCAAACGGGGCGGCCACGGGGCATTCGAGTGGGAAACCAACCTAGCATGTTGCAGCAACCTAACCTAGCTTGCAACACGGATGCCGCCTGTACTCTGAACAGTAATAACATCAGGAGAGTACTGGAGAACAAGCAGAGAATCACTCGCAAGACTCCGGGTCAAGGTGTCAGTGACCCAACAGGCAGCATGACGGAGGTAAAAATGGCGACAGTCACCCGGAGACAAGGGAACAGCAACCAACGATCCCGTACAAGACGGGTTGGAACCCGGAAGACACATTCAATGGTCCCCCGAGCCCAGACAGGGGTTTCCAGGGCCCGTAGGGTAACAACTACGGGAAGCCCGGGCAAGGTGTTGCTAACCGGTTAAGAAACCCAAACATAACAAGAGGGTAGATTATAGCACTGAAAACCCCCGAGACGTGTACAAGCACGGGGGCCTAGCAGAGGGCCGCCAAACACTACCAGTGGAACTATAACCACCTTAGGCAGACCCCCACCAGGCAAGAATATGAAAAACAAAAGAAAAACCCCGCAAAAGTACACCGTCTCCAGAGGCAACAGAAACCGGCCGCCGCTTAGGTGGCAGGCTGCGCAACACCTTGACGCCCTAACCAGCACAATACCAATCCCTACCCAGGGCCAAACAAGGGCCCCAAGCCCCAGCTGGCCCCAAGGGCGAGGCAAATGCCGAGCAGCAAGAACCTCTACGGGAATGGTTCCCGAACGCCCCAGGGAAGATAACCCTGTAACGCAAGGGCAGTACTCACAGGGCGCTTAGGGAAGTCAGCCACTAAGCACATGCAGCCCCGGCACTGATGAAGTACTCCTGGCCACCGCACACCACAACACACGGCAGTGAACGCCACACAAGGCAAACACCGCCTAGGAAACTGAGGCCAGAGAAGCGTCAATCCCGGTTGACATTAGCGAACGAACTGGAGCTTGGCAGCCGGCGCGGTAGGTCCGGGGCTCCCCCCTCCCCCTCCCGGGGTGGGGAGGGCTGCGCGGACGATCGGCGCGGCAGTAAAGTGTGATGTTTGCTTGTTTGCTTGTTTCCTTGGGATTGTAGGGAGTTTTCTACCTCTCTGTTCGGTTTTTGTTGTAGTTTCTTACCATGTGGGGTTTGTTTTGTTACGCCTACCTTTCTGGGTGCCTAACCCCGGTCGATGGCAGATAAGGAAAACCCCCAACCATATGGGGTTTTCCAGGGCCATTGCTCCCTGAAACCTCTCTGAAGGGGCCAGGTTCTGGCGCTGGTCCCTGGTAGGTCTGAACTCCTTAGCTAATGTCCCGGTCTAACATAACACACATTAGCCCGATAAGCTCCAGGGAGCCGTAGGGGCTCCCCACAGAAAACATACATTTTATATACATGCCAAATATATAACGATGAAGGTTCTTTAAGACAAAGTGCAACATATTATGATCTAGAGTAAACCTGATGGTTATTGGTCACCCCACACAGTTACAGTGGACACCCAGTTATCCACCTTGGATTGGATCCAGTTCATTGAACTCGGAAATTTGTATTAGCCAGAAATCATAATATCGTGTAGAGCCATTTCAGTAGCTCCAAGTGGATATAGGACTGGAGCTGCCGCCACTTGAGCCTTCTGTGAGCCAGGATCAGGATCTGGTTGTCTCTTATAAAGTGAGGGGAAGCTCGGAGATCAAAGTAACTCAAAACCATGAAATAATAATAATAATCTTAATAATAATAATAATAATAATAATAATAATAATAATAATTACAGTAATAATAATAATAATAATAATGTAAAAGTACATACTGTACATACAAAATGAGTTACAAACAGAATGTTGGATTTTTAGATAGAGCTAGCATATACAGTGGTACCTCACATAACGATCGCCCCCAAAGGCGAACATTTTGGGCCCGATTGGTGTCAAATCATCCCGTACGGCGAGCGCTCGTTTGAGTAACGTCAACACCACATGGTGGGGTCGCGCTGCTTCTTGCACATTCTCGGACGCCTCCGACGATGCACATAAATTATGTTGTTCTTGTTTAAAGATGCTAATGATGCTGGGATATAAAGGGGTGACTGCTGAGATGTTGCAAAGTATTGACGTTTTTGTAGAAAAAAAAGAAATGAAATTTTTGAAGTACAACAAATGTCAAAAAGGTTCGTTCAGTGTTTGTCGGGTAGGCTGCTCCATTATTGAGACATAAGTGACAAATACAAAACAATTGGAACACATTTGAAACAAAGAAAGATTGTCATAATGGAGCAGCCTACCCAACAAACACTGAACGAACCTTTTGCTATAACAAATATGAAAGACAAGGGCTGCTGGCTGGGTTAGTACTGTGTGAGCAACTATTTGTGGCACACGTGCCTCTGGCTCCCAAACACCTGTCAGACACGGTGTTGAAAGATTGGGCTCAGTAGGTGAAATTCAGACCTTATTGTTTGAAGAACATAAGGGTTATAATATTGGTGAAGCTAGGCGCAATAAGCACTTAACACAACGGTCGGATAAAAGTGATACAGCACCTATGAGCATGATACAGCGAGCGTATCCAGTTGTAGCTCTGAGCACCACCCTTGCCATCTCCAATTTATATAGATGATACATAGATGAATCGTTTTCTGCGTTCAGTGATGATACATCTGATACAAGCAGCATAGATGAACAGTGTTAGCGGCTTCCATGGTGGTGTTTTCCATAGATATTTTCAAGAATACCTGAATCTCTTCCTGACTGACGGACACTCTTTGAGGCTAGCTGAATCTCTTCCTGTGTGGGACCATACAAAGCGATCTTTTCAAGACTACCTTACAATTTGAGCTTTTCCTAAAATCGTCTCAATACTACCTTATGCTTTACAAGCTTGGCTACATACCACCTACAAGTACTAAAGCCAAGGGTGTACGTGAGTGCGTTATTTGCAAGCACACAGAACAATGAGACATGAAGCGAAAATCTATCTGTACCTGGTGCAACGAGAGCAAAGTCGCGCTGTGTACCATGGACTACTTCGTTGATTATTACACACCTCCAAAGTACTGAGTGTGTAATACAGTGTGTTACTGTGTAAATAGTGTGTGAAACTGTACATATTGTAATTTTAGTGAATTTTTACCATGTAATATTGTGACAATAAACATTTATTGTGGACACATTACTGACACATGTATCACAGTTCCATGGAACATTATGAACATTCTACTGTATACATATTGTAAATGTCACAAATATGCATCATGTATGATAAAAGAAACAAATAAAACTGCATTGGAAATACATAGAACAAATAATTTAAAATATATTTGTGGTACTGCTAACCGGCGCCCAAGTCTACCAAACAACCTTCTAAGAACTGAAACCCCATGATGTGTACACTCACAGGGATCTAGCAGGGGGCACCACTGGAAGAAGGAAGAATATTCAGTACACAGGGGGCAAGAACGAAGGCAGACTTCCCCCCCCCCAAGGCAGACAAACAAAAAGAAAAAGAAAACCCCGCAAGAGGACAGCATACCCAGGCGGAACAGAGCCGGCCACCATGATTAGTGAAAACAAGCTGCACAGTACCCTGCGCTCTACCAGTGCAAACTGCCCCTTACCCTAAGGCGAGCAAGGGAGACAGAACACCTGAGCAATCAAAGGACGGCTGAAAACCAAGCAGGTAACGGCCTAGCAGGGGCAGAACCCAAGGAACTTGTGGAAGGTGGCCCAAGCCCCAAGGGCAGTACTTACAGGGCACCTAGGGAAGGAAACCCTAGGCACATGCAGCCCGAGTACTGGAGAATCACTCCCAGCTCACGCACCACCTAGAAGACAGTCACCACACTCTACGTACAGTGCTGAAACCACCACCGGAGCCAGAGCACACGACCTCAGCCTCTAGCATCAGCCGAAGAACTGACTGGTGGATAGCCGGTGCGGTAGGTCTGGGGCTCTCCCTTCCCCCTCCTGGGGAGGGGGAGAGGTCACACGCGGCGACGTGTGACCTCATGATCGTTTGCTCGTTTCTTTTAGGGGAGTTCTATTCACTTGTTCGGCTTGTGGTAGCAATTTTTACCAGAATAGGGGTTTGTTTTGGGATGCTTACCTTTCTGGGTGCCTAACCCGGTCGATGGCAGACATAGAATGCTTCCAACCACACAGGGGTTTCTATAGGCCATTGCTCAACTTACCTCTCTGAGGGGGCCAGGTTCTGGCTCGTGGTCCCTGGTAAGCCCCTAGAACTCCATACACATGATTGATGCCAAAGTCTGACATTAGCATATGAGCCTGGATAAGCTCTGGGGAGCCGAAGGGGCTCCCCCAGAAATGTAAACAAGAGCAAAGATAAGTTATTCAAAAATTAGTTACAATGCAAAGCATGTAATCACCTTCACCAATGCCTTTCCATATTTGATCTTCAACTGCTGATATAACTGATTATATTCTTGAACATTTATTAGCTTGAGGGACCCTTTGTCCTCCACATCTCCACCTTCTTGTACCTCAGCTGACCATTTCTTCAACTTGGGAAGAACATTTTTCTGCAACCACACAGTGCTGGCACGAGCCTCAGGAGACTCGCTACCATTATCTGAAGAGAAGCAGAACAAAGTGTTAAGTTTAATGTTTAATAAAATGTTAATGATTTATATCTATCTTGGATTCCTTCTTCCATCTGCTCAAAGAAACATGTCAAACAATTCCTCACACTGGCTTAGTTGTTGTAGAAGTAAGACAGTCACGACCTGCTTGAACTGGGAGCTAATATGTGGCAAGAATGTAGCCTAGAGGACACCTGTACACGAGTTGAAAGCTGGGGAAGGGGTGAGGAAGGGTGGAGAGGTTGGGAAGTGTGGGGATGAGGTGGTGGAGATGTTGTTGTTTTTGTTTAAGATTCGCTACTTGGAACAAAATGTTCCAAGCAGCACGGGCTATGGTGAGCAAAGGTAGAGATGTGTGAAAGGGTGAGGAGGAAGGGTGCATACCAGGAGTATACCTGGAGAGGAACCTGGGAGTTCTTCTATTTCACGAGACTGGCCTGAGGCCAGGCTCGACTTATGATAACTTGGTCCAACAGGCTGTTGCTTGGAGCGGCCCGCAAGCCCACATATCCACCACAGCCTGGTTGATCCGGCACTTCTTGCAAGAACTTATCTAACTGCCTCTTGAATACATCCACCTTTGTTTCTGCAATATTTCTAATGTTTGCTGGGACGGTGTTGAACAGCTGTGGACCTCTGGTGTTCAGACAGTGCTCTCTGAGTGTGCCTACTGCACCTCTACTCTGCACTGGTTCTATTCTCCCTGGTGGTGTCAGGGGAGGCAGGTGGTGTCAAGGGAGGCAGGTGGTGGCAGGGGAGGCAGGTGGTGTCAGGGGAGGCAGGTGGTGGCAGGGGAGGCAGGTGGTGTCAAGGGAGGCAGGTGGTGGCAGGGGAGGCAGGTGGTGTCAGGGGAGGCAGGTGGTGGCAGGGGAGGCAGGTGGTGTCAAGGGAGGCAGGTGGTGGCAGGGGAGGCAGGTGGTGTCAGGGGAGGCAGGTGGTGGCAGGGGAGGCAGGTGGTGTCAGGGGAGGCAGGTGGTGGCAGGGGAGGCAGGTGGTGGCAGGGGAGGCAGGTGGTGGCAGGGGAGGCAGGTGGTGCCAGGGGAGGCAGGTGGTGCCAGGGGAGGCAGGTGGTGTCAAGGGTGGCGGGTGGTGTTAGGGGAGGCAGGTGGTGGCAGGGGAGGCAGGTGGTGGCAGGGGAGGCAGGTGGTGGCAGGGGAGGAAGGTGGTGGCAGGGGAGGCAGGTGGTGTCAGGGGAGGCAGGTGGTGGCAGGTGGTGTCAGGGGGAGGCAGGTGGTGTCAGGGGGAGGCAGGTGGTGTCAGGGGGGCAGGCAGGTGGTGGCAGGTGGTGTCAGGGGAGGCAGGTGGTGGCAGGGGAGGCAGGTGGTGTCAGGGGAGGCAGGTGGTGTCAGGGGGAGGCAGGTGGTGTCAGGGGAGGCAGGTGGTGGCAGGTGGTGTTAGGGGGAGGCAGGTGGTGTCAGGGGGAGGCAGGTGGTGTCAGGTGAGGCAGGTGGTGGCAGGTGGTGTCAGGTGAGGCAGGTGGTGGCAGGTGGTGTCAAGGGAGGCAGGTGGTGTCAGGGGAGGCAGGTGGTAGCAGGTGGTGTCAGGGGAGGCAGGTGGTAGCAGGTGGTGTCAGGGGAGGCAGGTGGCAGCAGGTGGTGTCAAGGGAGGCAGGTGGTGGCAGGTGGTGTCAGGGATGGCAGGTGGTATCAGGGGAAGCAGGTGGTGTCAGGGGAGGCAGATGGTGGCAGGTGGTGTCAGGGGAGGCAGGTGGTGTCAGGGGAGGCAGGTAGTGTCAGGGAAGGCAGGTAGTGTCAGGGAAGGCAGGTGGTGTCAGGGGAGGCAGGTGGTGTCATGGGAGGCAAGTGGTGTCAGGGGAGGCAGGTGGTGGCAGGTGGTGTCAGGGGAGGCAGGTGGTGGCAGGCGGTGTCAGTGGAGGCAGGTGGTGGCAGGTGGTGTCAGGGGAGGCAGGTGGTGTCAAGGGTGGCAGGTGGTGTCAGGTGTCAGGGAAGGCAGGTGGTGTCAGGGAAGGTAGGTGGTGTCAGGGGAGGCAAGTGGTGTCAGGGGAGGCCGGTGGTGGCAGGTGGTGTCAGGGGAGGCAGGTGGTGTCAGGGGAGGCAGGTGGTGGCAGGTGGTGTCAGGGGAGGCAGGTGGTGTCAGGGGAGGCAGGTGGTGGCAGGTGGTGTCAGGGGAGACAGGTGGTGGCAGGTGGTGTCAGGGGAGGCAGGTGGTGGCAGGTGGTGTCAGGGGAGGCAGGTGGTGTCAGTGGAGGCAGGTGGTGGCAGGTGGTGTCAGGGGAGGCAGGTGGTGTCAAGGGTGGCAGGTGGTGTCAGGTGTCAGGGGAGTCAGGTGGTGGTAGGTGGTGTCAGGGGAGGCAGGTGGTGGCAGGTGGTGTCAGGGGAGGTAGGTGGTGGCAGGTGGTGTCTGGGGAGGCAGGTGGTGGTAGGTGGTATCAGGGGAGGCAGGTGGTGGCAGGTGGTATCAGGGGAGGTAGGTGGTGGCAGGTGGTGTCAGGGGAGGTAGGTGGTCGCAGGGGAGGCAAACGTGTCCTAGCATATGTATTTTTTTTTTTTAAGGTTGTTGGGGCCGGACGGGTGGAACGAATTCCGCACTGGAACGGGTCGGCTTCGCCCCATATAGTTCGATCAAGAGAGGACACACTGTATATTTGCTCGGTTGTGTTCACTAGATGTCAGGTCGTCAGACATTATAATTCCCAGGTCCTTTATATGCTACTTTCATTCTATGAGTAAACCTGATTGTGTCCTGTACCCTGTGTTTTGTTTAAGTTCCTCATTTCCACTATACCTCAATACCTGGAACTTGTCACCATTAACCACTGCACAGCACTGTGCCAGCCAATAAATCTTATTTGCTCCTTCAACCAGGAAAACCCTTTTAGATTTTTTCATACATAGTCGAAACGCAAGTACAGTAGATTGGGTACGAAATGGACTCCTGGGACCTCCAGTGATAGGCTGCCTTCTTGGAAAAAAAACAGCGTTGAATGGGGACCACGAGCTAGAACCTGGCCCCCTCACAGAGGCACGAGGAACAATGGCCTAAAGAAACCCCCATGTGTTTGGAAGCATTCTATGCCTGCCACTGACCTGATTAGGCACCCAGAAAAGTAGGCATCCCAAAACAAACCCCTATTCTGGTGAAAATTGCTACAAAAAGCCGAACAAGTGGATAGAACTCCCCAAACAAAAATGAGTATGACGTCACACGTCGCCGTGTCGCAGTCTGCCAGCTCCCCCTCCCCGGCAGGGGGAAGAGGGAGCCCCAGATCCCCACGCCAGCTATCCACCTCTCAGTTCGGAGGCTGGACATAAAAACAAAACGCGAAAACCACTGACTGGGGGGAGGGAGGGTTGCCGGGGAGCCTCTGGGACTCACGCAGAAAATGGCATTTCATTACAATCAACGCTGGTTTTCTGGGGGAGCCCCCATCAGCTTCCCAGAGCTACCTACCCACAGATAAAAACCATAGGGACTTACCCGGGAAGCGGTCGCTGCTCATTCCTCAACGCAAAGCCGAGACAACTGGCTGCAACCGCCGACCCAAAGCGACACAGGCCCGACTAGGTCCGGGAACGTTTACCAAGTAACGCGCAGCCAGGGCCCTGTTCGACTTCCAAAAACCCTGTGCCCGAATGTCAACCCAAGACATATTACCAAAAACAGCGGCAAGAGAAGCAAACTTGCGAACGTCTTGGACACGGGGATAGACCGCAGGCTGGCTAGACCGAATAACCCTGCAGACGACCTGGAAGACCCGAACACTGGAACAGAAAAGAAGGGAAACCGAATCAAGCCAAAGCAGCAGTCTCATTCTTCACCAGAAAAGAAGGAGACGGCTGCTAACAAACAAACCTACAGCCAGGACCAAACGAGCAGAAACCCCTGTGCCGGAGGAGAGCATGAAGCTCCCCGACCCGACCCCCAGAGGCCAATGCCAACAAGAAAAGAGCCTTAGAGAAACAGTCCTGAACCGAAGAGGCCACTACAAACCCAGGGGAAGAGAGATAAGTGTCAAGCGACCAGGACAGCTCAAGTGGCGCATGAGCAGGCCAGAGGTGAAACAACACACGAGACAGCTTGTGAAACGGCACTGAAGTAACATCAAAACCGAAAACAAGCTGCAGCAGCTCTGCCAGTGTTGCACGATAGGAGGCGATAGAATTCGGCATAAGACGACAGTCCTGGAACAACCAAGAAAGAAAGGAAAAGACAACCTTAACCGACAGTGAAGTATACAGTACTTACGAAGCCGAAGAAAGAAACGGAAAGACCGCCAAGAGACTTCACACTGCTGCCTAGATGAAGTCCGCAGGTGGGACACCAACAATGAAGCCATCTGATCACCATAGAAATGATGATAGACTCGAGTCAAAAACACCATACGCATAGATTCGAGGAGAAAACCGAACCAGCCACGTGACTCACCGGCCCAATCTGCTGAAAGAGGAGGAGCTGCAGGAAAACCTCTGGGTTCTGACACTGTGCAAGAAGCGCCTGAAACCAAGGCTGGGACGGCCACTGTGGGGCCAAAAGTACTACTCTCACCTGGTAAGTCTCTAAGCAAGTCAGGACCTGGAGCAACAGCTGAACCGGGGGAAAGAGGTACAGGAACCCCCACCTCGACCAGTCCTGCCGAATGGCATCGATCCCGACGGCCACGCAGTCGGGGAAGGGCGCGACATACACTGGAAGGCGCCGCAACCATGCCGACGCGAAGAGGTCCACCTCCGGGCGCCCGAACCTCTGGCAGAGCCATCTGAATGAGTTGGTGTCGACCATCCATTCGGTGGACAGGTGAAAGAACTGACACAGGCCGTCCGCCAGACATTGACACCCCCAAAACGTGAACTGCCAGGAAAGCTAAACCCCAAGAACTCAGCAGACAAGTCACCCGAAGCGACCAGCGTCAAAGAGCCAGGGACCACATCGAACCCCCCTCGGTTCAGGCAATGAACCACTAGGGAGCAGTTCAAATGGAGCCGATCGTTGATGCGCAGATGACCTGAACCCTGTGAAGTGCAAACCAAAC